AGGACCCATTTTTTCTTTTGTACGTAAGGGTGGCGCAAAATGGCACATAGACCACACAACCAAAGACGCGCAGATACGATAGGTCGGGTCCATATCTGGTAACCAACTGACACGCACTTCATAAAGTTGGGTTGTGAAGGGCCTCAAGCAGACCAACATGGTTGCTTGCAATATTATATGGCCCCAAGCAAAGATCGTGGAACTTGGTACATATGACCAATCGATTGCACAATCATTTGAAGGTGTTTAATGAATGCTTCTGTTGGGTCATTCTGGCTATGAACATAGGGTACTTGATGTTCAACTTCAAAACCCAACTGACATGCAATATCCATCGAAAGTCGAAGTTTTCGATGTAAATTCTCCAACTTATCAAATCAAATAAATTTGATCAGATAATCAAGGTGGTGAGCCCTGAGCTTGTTAATTTGAGCCACCAGTGTGGAGAATACAGCTTGTGGACAACAACCACACTTGTGACATAAAGTATATAAATGGTTGAGTCCGTCCACAAATGTCCCCTTTGAATCCTTTGTAGAAAAGATTGAGGGTACTAATGTATAATACGAGTCCAGGTTTGATGTCTTTACTTTTGGTAAAAGGATGCCCAAAATGGCACATCACGGATCATTCTAGATATCCCAAATGTTCATCCATAGAGAAAATTCCTTTGGAATCGCAGGCTTCTAGACAACCACTTAGTGGACCTAAATGGGTGTAATCCACTTGTTAAGCATTCCATCTTCTCTAGAATATGCATTTGGCTATATTCGTAGGAAGTGCAATATGGTAATATGCTAAAGAATTTTACTCCATTTTCTACATTGGTTTTAATATGGTAATAGTGCTCTCGAATATCCTTAAAACTCCAAAGGGTGTTCTTCCAGAATGAGTGAGTATAAGGCTTCCCTTTATGGTAAAATTAGTACCATTGGACAATATAGGGCAGTGCCATACCCACAATTAGGTTGGATAAGCATGAAATGTTGTCAAGGGTTAGGTATGAAGTTAGCATAGAACCAAACTGCTAACTTCCCCACAAAACATACCTAAGCATGAGTTAATTATAGTCACATGTGGTAATTTTCACTAATTAACTCTTATTCGAGAACAATAGTGACGTCCAAACACCAATTTTAAATCCAAGAATAAAATAAATAAATTCACAAAGTAAACCAAAAAGATAAGTGGATTAGGCCAATAGGCCTGCCATGTCAAATTTTGCTCTTCCAAATGTGTTAGATGGAGCAAAATTAGTCTCACAGATTGACTACGGGAATGGTACTCCTCAACAACATTGGTAGAGGCATATACAAGTGCATAACAAATGATCTATTTCGTTAAAATAGAGTTAGATTCTGCAAGGTAGAGGTTCGGGAATACTATCCTTTATTCTTGAAGTTTTATGTGCCAAGGATCATGCTTCATGCGTGATACCACCTCTTGGCAAGCTTGATTCTACCATATGTTGTAAAACAAACTCAAAATTTTATCGTATGAGAGAGAAAGAGAGAGAAAGAAAGAGAAAGAGACTGACTGACTGACCCAAACTTGGGTTCGATAGGCTCTAGCTGAAGCTGGAGGGGTCTGTTCGGTAGGCCTCTGCCGAAGCAGGGCATTACCGTTCGGTGCACCTTTGCTGAAGCAGAGCATGCCTATTCGGTGCATCTCTATCGAAGCAAGACACCACTATTCGGTTGACTCCAGTCGAAACTGGGTCTATACCGTTCAGTACCTCCCAACCGAATTGTTGGGGTACCTTTCTCTCACAAGTGTGGTAGTAATCAGATCTGAGAATTCGGTGGCTTCTGCTCTCTATACTGCTACTTCAGGAGCAATTTAGATATATAAGGACGAGGAAGATTTTCTTCCTGTCAAAATTTGATCGGATATAAACTTCAGAATTGTACCTATTTATGGACGTAAAGGTTTCAATCATGTTTTGGTTTAGGCAAGAATTCATCATTGCATGGTCCATAACGAGTCAAAGAGCCATGGAGTCCTCGACATAATTCCATTTGATATGCTTCAGGCATAAGTTTTCGAATGAAGATTATGGCGGATGCTTATTCAGCTCTTCCATACCATAACTAGTTACAACGATTTCGTAACTAGCCATAGTCAAGTGGCGTGTCACTTGTTGTATCCACATAAAGTAGTTTCTTGTTCGAAACTTCCAAATCAGTGAAATTGAACTTGTTACAATTGCTGAATGGCGGAAACAAGAATGTGATTGGTGTTTTATAAAATTTCCATAAACGTCAAAGTTAGAACATTCAGGTTTTAAGACATGGGTTGGTTTAAACAGATTTAAGCATGGAAAACTTCGCGTCTCAACATGAGTGTTGAGCATTAAGAAACTTTAGGTTTCTATGGCACTTTTCCTAAACTTCAAGTTCATAATACCTGCAAACAAACACAATATATAAAAAATATGCAACGAGAAAATATGCAAATATGTATAGAATTTATAATTTAAATATTTGGACTTCGGGCCAAAATTAAAAGTTGGGCAAAAAAATCTAAAACCCATAAGGCCTAAAAAAAGGCAATATAATTGGTGGCCCAAGGCATTGGACCAAAGTTAAAAAATAAAAATAAAAAAATAAAAAAAAATCTGAAAGGTAATGGGATCCAAGCCTAAAAATATGGGTTGGAATAGTCATGGGTAAGGGGCAAGAAGCATGCCAATCCCTAACACACCAAAAATAAATGGAGTTGTAGGCCTAAGTCAGCAAGAGCCCATGCAGGGGTGCTGATCAAGTGTGGTGTGGTGCAGGGGAGGACCACAGCCTAACGAGCTGATGTCACGTAGGCCAAGATTAGTTCGGGCTTGAAGCCTAAAGGCTCCACACTTGTATCAGCCCATCACACAGGGCAATAAACTTCAAGCCTACAGGAGGTTACATGTTTCCAGGCCTACATCTGTGCAGATAGTGGGCCCAGGAACTTTCCTGAGCCTAATTCTTTTTACAAAAACATGGCCCAATCGCTTCGTCCAGTGGTGACGCGTTCTGGGTTCAACGGAGGGCTGCAGGCCCTCTTAGCTCACGGCTTGGCATAGGGGAACTCAGCGGATTGGTGCCACGGCTCGGTGGATTTCCACCAAACCTTAGCATTTTTTTAATTTTTTTAATTTTTTTAATTCTATGAATTTCAATTGCTCATAATAATTCATAGTAATATCACAATATCAATTCACATAATTCAATAGGATTATGATTATAATGCATACACAATTTATGTAGAATCTAAAATTCGAAAAACGTAAAGTTGGGTCATGCATTATGGTGAATGTTCATTCTATTAGGGTTACAAAAATATCGAGATAAAAACCGTTGTTTTGGAGGAATCTGATTGCGTGATTATATTGATGAACTGGTTTGAAGCAAAAAATTATTTCTTCAATTTTGGCTTTCCATCTTCAAAGCTTGTATCACGTTAAACATAAGAAAAATAAATAAATTGAATCAATAGAAGTATATGAATTCAATAAAATCAAATTTTAATCAATTAAAAATAATTGAAACGTAATACTCCCCTGATTGAAGACGAATAAATTCTCTTTAGCACAGTGTGAAGAGCATGATGATAACGTGTTGTGGCCTATATTTACTGAGGGGTGCGGCATAGAGAGAGAGAGAGAGAGAGAGAGAGAGAGAGAGAGAGAGGAGAATAGGCTTGAGGAATTGTGTATTAATTCCCCAGTCCTTGTGCCTTTATTTATAGTAATAAGGATGAGAGAAACTTGTTATCCAAGTAATACAAAATATATTAGGAAATATCTTCTAGATCCCAAAGGATTCCTATTTGATCTCTACTTAGGATTTACACAATCATATATTGATAAGAACATATGTCACAACAGTTATTGAGTTTTCTCAAGATTTTGGTTAATTTATCACCTGATTAACTTTGTACTCGAGTTCAAATTTATTTCCTTGTAAATAAGAAGAATAGTTTAGATTATGCCCATGAATAAAAAGAAATCTATTTTGATTATGACTAAAAAATTATATACAATTATGTAATAGCTAATCTGCGTGTTATGATATGGGTAGAAATAATTTCAATACCAATCAACACATTAAAAAAATTGAAATAATTACATCTTTTAATGGCGTTCCAGTACGATGCAATAATTTATGATTGAAACGAGAGAATTTCCCTTAGAATTAAAAGTAAGTGTCTATATACTTTATGTATGATATGAAATGTGCTCTATTGCAACGTTGGATCTTATTTGATGCAATTGCACACCCTACGCAATTGAAATACTCCCAAGTTTGGGTTATTGGTAAGTTATGGGTTTGAGTAATTTGCAATTGGACACTTTTCATTTTTGAAAAATTGAAAATTTTCATTATCAAGACAAAAGCCAAGAGAACGCTGAAAGCTACGAAGGGCAAATAAAGAGACATAAATAAAGCATACAGATAAAAGCGGTGAAAAAAGGGGAGGGGGGGAATACATGAAGAGGGACGCAACAACGATTACAAAAGCGTCACCCCGTCTACACCACACCGAACTTAGGTTGAAGGGGAACAAGGCAGGTCATCCAGGTTGAAAATGTGCACCAATGAAGATGGGAGAAGACGATGAAGTAGACTTGACAGTGATGTGGAATGACTTGGTCCGTCATATCAGATAAAGTGTAGAAATAGAGGAAGGTAGAGTGTAGAAATTAGCTCTAATTGCTTCTCTTCAAGGCAACCTTAAACCATAAAGGTCATCTAAATTCATTCAAACTTGTTACACTTAGACATTTCATTTAAACATTTCGGCTGTTTAATAACCTTCTTCTTTTTCTTTTTTTCAGTTTTTAGTTTTAGTTTTTAGTTTTTTTTTTAACTAAAAACAAATTTGGTCTTGAGTTTTCCCTTTTTGGTTTCAAATGAAAATTGAAAGTAGTTACCAAACAAAATTCTAATTTTTAATTTTTAAAAAAATGAAAAACTGAATACCAAAGACCAAAAAAAAATAAATAAATAAAGAAATTGTTGTCAAACGACCTATTAGAGAATCAATCCCAAATTATCTACACCCACAAAAAACTTACAAGTTAAAATGATTAGAGAATTTACTAACAATATAAGCGAATGTCCTGCTGCGTATCCAATACAATAGACTAATTCTCCTGATCATAGACGATGCATAACAAAACATATGTACAATACATTCATATGTTATACAATAATGTTTGGCATGACCAGAACACCATCTGCAGCTCCAGAACCAAACAATGCCCTCCATGATCACATCATCGAACGAGATCAAAAGTAGCCGGTCATGTCGAACTTTGATTCCTTCAACATACATACATACATACATATATATATATATATATGGTCTTGATTAAGTTTGAACAACAATTAAATGCAGGTAGCTGCAGATGATGAGATTACATAAGGGTTGCAAGTACAGGGTGTGCAAAACCAAAACCCAAGGGAGAGAGACCGAGGGGATTTTCGTACCTGTAACTTCGGAATGTACCTCGCTCAAGCTCAATGGGGTTTTCATACCTGAAATTTTGAAAAAATGTGGGTGTCCAGAGAAAACCAAAGTGAGTGAGAACGAAGCAGACGAGGCTGGTGATGGGTGCCATAAGTAAATTCGATTAACTTGTTGTAAGTTTTGCAGTTGAAGTTTGAAGAAGAAGTTGCGGTGGCCGTGGTTGCTATATGGAATTGCAGAGGGAGGTTCCTTTGGTGGTGTAGGGTGAGGGTGAGGGTGAGAGTGAGCTCTTAAGAAGGAGGGACGGTGGTTGCTTAACTTTGAAGTATTGGACTTGTTTGCCGTGCTAGCAGAAGCAATCATAGAAGCGTGCACACATTTTCTTTACTTATATTCCATGTTTCAGTTTCATATCCTTTCTTTTATCTATCTCATCACATGACTAATGTGGTTAAAAGACAGAGAGAAAAGGGTATGAAACATGTTGCATGAAAGTTTTAAAGGAAAACTAATGAAAAATGTTTGAAAACTTTGAGTTTTAATGATAAGGACAAAATAAAGGGTAAAGTGAATAGTAGCAGGTTTGACTTTTTAGTGTAAAAATGTGGTTTTTCGTTAAAATGAACAGTACCGTAGGCTTTTCGTTAAAACTCCCAAGTTTTAATCCCGGGACAATATTTAGTATGGTAGCTTGATGATCAAGTCAATGTCACAAAGGGTGAGATTGTGTGATTGTAAATTGTACCAACATCGGGTCGCAGGTACGAAAAAGCAATGAGGCTTGTTCTTTTGTGAGAGTGTCTGACCATCCAGCTAGTCAAGTTGTCTTACTCAAATTTTTTTATATAACAGTAACAGTATCGCGTGATATTACTAATTCACTTATTATCTAAGAGTACGTGACGATATTACAATGACATTGAAAATTTCTCTACATGCCAACAGTGTGAAGTAATATGCTTATAATACGTTTAAAAATGGCAAGAATAAGGGTGTATAACAGTATATGTTTACGTCACTCTTTTGGCCCTTTGAGATTGAGGTATTGGAATCTAGCTAGTCTCAAGAGACCCAGTGGCAACTCAAACTCAATGTGGGTTAGGTAAGATAGGATGTTGTTTAGCTACATAGCTAACCTCACTTGATCTGGTAAACTGTCAGCTAGCTATTAGGCCCATCTTCAACTTGTTAGGCTCCGCCACAAGAAGCAAAATACAGCCCACTTCTATTTAGGCTTTTTGGGGAATGGAAGGGCAGCCACAAGGCCCATCCAATATTTAAAAGAAAGGAGCCATGGTCCATATAAGTCGTGTTTTGGGCTTTTGGAGGCATAAAAATGAAAGTGTTAATGGTGTTTTCATCGTAGAAATCGAGTACTCATTGAATCTTATATTCGTTTAAGTTTCAAAGTAACGTGTCGTATTTGAAATTTTCACAGTCGGAGTAAACAATTTTATCGTGAACATTAGTCCCCAGCTTTTAGACTTCTTTTCTTAGGATGCATTTCACTACTACTCCTTTTTATTTTTAATATAGAACACGTTAATGGTATACTAATTCCCTCCCTCTGTTCCTCATGCAGCCTTAGTACCACATCATGGTTCATTTAGAAATGTTTTTAAAATGACTGAAAACACCATTATAGAAATAATTGTAGATTCCAAAAACACTTGAAGTGTTTTCTACAAGAAGCACCAGTTATCAGTGGCAAAGTCACTAAGGGACAAGGGTAGTCATGGGCCTATCCTGCAATTTTTTTCCTTTTCTATATGTATAAGCTATAACATAACCTCCTTTTACTTTTGGTAAGTTTAGTTGTAATCTTGAAGTTTTTGGATTTGTAATTCTCTTATTCTAGTTACAACAATGTAGCTTCTTCTACTTGTTAATTACTTCCAAGTTCATCTTTGTGTTGAAGTTTTCAAGCAGGTAACTGAATCTAACGATCAGGATTTACCACTAACTGCTATTAAGCTAAGGATGTTAGCTGATATTTTTTTTTTTTGTTGGCTTGAACTTCTGGTCCATCGTTTGTCTCTTTCCTTAAGCCATGCTCTTAAATATTTGTTGGATTAAGTGACTATATGGTCGATGCGGTTTGAAAATTGTAATCTTCCTCTATCTTATCTGCATATTAACCTATGATGTATAATTTCTCTCCATCTATGAGTTGAGGTAAATATATAGAAATGCAATCAATCTATACAGTATTTTAGACGTTAAAAAGATAAAGTTTCATATTTGTGAAGGCCCCTCACGATGTAAGATCCTGGCTCTGCCATTGCCAATTATGTGTTTCTTCTAAGCACTTTAAGTGTTTTCCAAGATTTACTTGCACTTTCATTAAAAATTGGTTTCAAAAATATTTTTACCAAAAATATTTTAAATCATTTTTAAAAACACTTTCAAATTAGCTCTAAGGCTGCAACGTAAATATTACAGCATATAGATATTGGAAGATAAGATGTTCACATTCATGGATTTGAGGTTTCATAAGCTACTATAAAAGTCTCAAATATCACAGTGCATTTCATAATTTAAAAACTTATAACAAACAGCCACAATTTGCTGCGAGATTTATACACACACGTGTATATAAAATGTTGGGATTGATTTTGTTGTTGGGAATCTTGGGATAAGGGTGAGATGGTAGATAGTGGTAGAGTGTAGAAGTAAAGTGAAGGCAACGATGCGGATAGTATGTTGTGCCAACGGACAAAATGGAGCAGATCACTTTATCAACCAGTTTCATATAATATTGCCACTGATTAGGGTTAAGCCTCCCCATAATTTGCAAGATTATGTGCAAAGATTATCGTCACCTCCAGAAAGTTGTGAGGATTTAGAAAATTGTCTTTTATCGATAAATTAAAAAAAAAATTAAATAAATAAATAATTTATAAGGAGCTGGATCATTTTTTGAAAATTTTAAATATTTTTTTACTGTTGGAAATCTAACAGTCCATCTCAAAAGGATAGTTGGAAATTCAACGGTTGTGACTGCTACAAATTGGAGTCGTTCTGCTTGTGGCGGGGGGGGGGGCCTATCTGCAGGTGACGTCATTGATGGCCACCGTAGTTGCTAGCTGGCTCAAGCTCAGCGTCAATTGGTAGGCCAAGCTAAGACCATCTCCAACCGAAGGGTCTAGAGGGCTAGAGGACTGAAAATAGTCTGAAAATCGTCTTCAACCGAGGGCTAGGCCAAAGGGCTCGTGGGCCCCACTAGACAAAAAGGGGCCAAAGGGCCAACCGACTGGCCCAATTCATCTAGCCAGCCCTGGGCTGGCCAGAATTTTTATTATTCATGTCGGTTATATCCAATAGCATTGTACTTATTAAATTACTGTCGGTTATATCCAACAGGAATGGTAGGCTTTTTTTTATTTATTTATTTTTATTTTATTTTTACAATTCTATTTTTTTCCTATAACTTCCTAAGTCATTTTCCTAAGTCATTATACAACATTAAATTAAATTAAGTAACATTAAACAACATTAAATTAAATTAAGTAACATTAAACAACATTAAAAAATATGAAATAACATTAAATTTAAATAATAAATTATGTTTGGTCCTATGGCCCTTTGACCCTCGGTTGGAGACAGTTTTTTGTGACAAGGTTAAAACGAGTCATATGGCCCTTTGGCCCTCGGTTGGAGATGGAGTCAAATATGATATTGTACTGTTCATTAAAATATTAATATCTTTGAAGACCAGAGGACTCAGTTGGTTGGAGATGGTCTAACGAGGTCGTACCCTATACCTCCTATTGCCTCTCCTTTTTAAGCCCACTGGAGCGCCTTCTTGAGGACAGGGGGCAATTTAACCCAATTGTCCTGCTACTTGGCCTTCCGCTAGAATTGCTCTCATTGGCAATTGTGTCAAGATTATAACCTCAACTTCTTTAAAGATAACATAGCAAAAATGCCCACATCTAAACCCAACGCTCACACGTGTTTCACACTACATGTTTCCTCATGGAGGAAATAAGTCAATTGGGAGGTATACTCTAGGCGCATGAATAATAGATACTCCTAGCCACCTATGCATTTCGATGATCTTACAATTAAATTATTCATTTGTTAAGTTTCACATTTCGCCACACGTAAACATGTGTATGAGATATTTCAGAAAGAAAAATTAAGAAACCTTGCAACCGCTTATAGAGTTAGGACTACAACCGCTTAGAGAGTTATGTCAAACTCCTCATGTTTCCTCCCTTAATATATTGCGAGGGCCGAAGGCACTACTCCACCAATCCCTCCCTGACCCTCGCAAAGCGAAGAGTCTTGTTGTTCTGGAGTCGCCTTTTGGTTACTAAATGCAAACTAGTATTCACCTTCTGGTTTTCACAGTGCCCAACCCACTGAGCTTCAAGTGGAGCTCATTGAGCAACCATTATATAGCAAGCAAAAGTGACCCCAAAAATATAAAAGTATTTATCTTCAAGCATGATATGACTAGAAAGAAGAAAACAAGGAGAATCCTGAGAAAATGACAGTGACATTGAAGTAAATTCAAAGGCAAGTTCTTGCAGAAACAGTAAAAAGAAAAGAAGGGGTAAAATCCGACTATATCTACAATTTCATGGCCTCTGAGCCCCTTTTTCTGATGGAAATTTAATTGAGAGAGGAGCAAAAAGAAGCCTTCACACACATAGCATAAGTTCAAGCAACAGTTTAATATAAATACTACTTCCCCCTTAATAATTAACTTATTGTTCCTCCAAATCCCTTCATATTCTCTAAAAATATTCAAATTTAAACATGGGGGTTGCTCCTGAATGATCCAAGGGCCTTGACAGCTCCTGCTCTCAAGATAAATTGGTGGTAGAAGGCTGCAATTGCTGCTCCAATGAAGGGTCCTACCCAGAAAATCCACTGCAAACAACAAAAAAGTAAACAAGAATATATATTAGTGAAAGTTCTACAGTGTTCCGGAGTATCTTACGTTATAATGATAACATAAAAGTGAAGAAGAATTAATATTGGAGTACATACTTGGTCATCCCAAGCCTTGTCTTTGTTGTAGATAACAGCAGCTCCAAGACTTCTAGCAGGGTTGATGCCAGTGCCAGTGATTGGGATGGTGGCCAAGTGGACAATGAACACAGCAAACCCAATTGGCAGTGGAGCCAAAACCTTCAAATTCCACAACATTCCACAATTTAGCATCTTAGAATATGAGAGAGAGAGAATCTACCATGTAACGGATTGTATATTCTCCTGTCTATCTCTCTTGTCACATGACTTAAGAGATAGATACGAAAAGATATACAACCCAAGATAACTAAGAATCTCGATGGGAATACATACAATTGGAAAACATTTATAAAATCCGACAACAGGACAGTTTGGAACAGGATAGA